TATATATATATATATATATATATATGTTTATATAAATAAACAAATTTATATGTGTAAATACCAATAAATAAATAAACAATATATAAATTGATTACTGGAGGAATCGCCGACGACATAACATATTCAGCAAGTACAAAAGTTCTGTTTTTTTAAGTCTACAAATGAGTCGAACCAACTGAAAATGTTCCTTGGCTGATACCAATTATTAAGTTATACTAAAAAGTTATCTTTTGTTGGTCTTTTTCGTTTTTTCAAATTTTTTTGTAACTAACTTGATACAGCCATTTAACACGGCAGCAGAATAAAACTTTTAACAAATTTAGCTTACCAAACATAATTAAAACCATAGATTTTTACATTGAACAAAAATTTCTTTCCAAATTTTATCTGTAATCCAAGCTACATTATTTGGAGAACGAGTAAAAACAATAATACTGACATTCAAAAAAAACTGATGAAATTTTTTTTTGCAGTGAATACCCAAAAAAATAAAAAAATAAAAAATGAAAAAAAATTTGGGAGTTTTTACAGCTCTAAAACATTTATTTCCCCACGCCTTTTGCCCTTCCAACAATTTTGCCTCCATATGTGTGTGAAAGAGGTGAAAGGTGGAAACTCCGATGAAGCCTTAAAACTTTCCAACAGTCATTTCGCTAAAATTGCTGAGCTGAAAAAAAAAAATAAAACAGTACCTCTTCAATAGCCAGCAAAATATTCAGCTGTAATCTATACGAACGACTGTCAAATATCATGCAAAACTATCTGCCAAATAACACATCAACAACTCCCTTAGAACACGCCACCAAATTACATATTGATATCAACTAAGCTAACTGGTTGATAGTCTAAGCGGTAACAAATGTTACAATAAACTTAACTACAATCCGTGCTCCTCCTTTTTCCTACGATTACTTAAGCTGCGAAATTCTAGCTGTAATACCTGATGAACAACAACACCGATTGTGATAACCAAGCACCGTATAATGTATTTCCTCCTCTACTCCATACATGCCTTAAACTTCTACTTACGCTACTCCACTCACTACCCCTCATCACAACCGTCAGACAGCAAGTGCGCAGTTAAGAAAATTACGTCATTAAAATCAACGTAACTTGAGCAAGATATTTTTTTCCTGCCTCTCCTTCTCTTCTTCTATAACTTCAAAGTCCGTTAAACCACTAAGAATAATACCTGCTGCCACAAACACTAAATCAAGATAATAAAAGCCTTTGAAATCTTTATCTCCTTAATAACGATAAACACTTCTCAGTTCTTTTCCTAACCTGGAAAACAGTAAAGAGAAAAAAAAACAACGTCTACAGCTACAACCATATCGCACCCGCAAAGATTAAATTTATTCATCATAGGAGGCTCTATTGTACAAGTTAACTGAAAAAGTGACAAACCTCGTATTACAGAATATGACAAACAAACAGCAATTGTACCACAAAATTTTGAGGAGGATAGCAACCAATACGCTCACATCGCAAATACCCATTACCGTCCTATAATAAACTAAGAAGAAAAATATACTAAAACACAACCTTACAGATAAAAAACAAATTCCTACAACAAAACATTCATACAATGTCATTGAGAAGACTCTAAAATCCTTTTTCCCAGACCCTCTTTTATGTCATTATCAATCTTGATGTACAACAACAAGTGCAGCACAAAAATTAAAATGAATCAAATAAGTCTCACAGAAAATCCTAATGTTTAATACAATTAGCACGCAAAAAACAGTGAACAATTGATTCTCTTCCATCCAAAAATCAAGTATTACGCAGAGAAACTGCTACCAGTGCAGAAACACTTCAGAGAAAAAAGATAAAGAAAGCCGAAAAACAGGAATCGATGCAAAAGTAACCGCAATAACTCCTATTAACTGAGAAAATAAAGTAACAAAAAAAAGTAAAAAGACCACACTGAGGACAATCAAATAAAGTTTGAAAAATACAATTAAAAGAAATGAAATCTATAAACTTTATTCATGGAATGAAAGATTTACAGACATTTGCTTGAACAACAAATATGGCGACATAACAATAACTATAAAGTGCCTATTAACTGCTGGTAAATTTGGAACGTTCTGCGATGGGCAGACTAAAGCTATAACTTTAAACAGGAGAAGCACATATGAGCAAGTGAGGACCAGGCGTCAGCGCTGCAAACCAATTTAAGTAATGTAATGAAAAATATAGAAGCAATAAAAATATACGCAAGCCAAGCAGAAATGATTCCCAATCATTAACAGTGGTAACAGGTTTAAGTTCAAAAAACTAGGGTACCACTCAAACTCCAAAATTAATACGTCGTAAACTAATCTACCTGACTATTCGAATAATTATTTTCAACACGAAAAAGCGCGGAAACCAGTTAAAATTTTCGAAACTTTCAAAAAGTACAAGCTAGAATACTAACACCACAGTAGATAAAATAAAAGAGTAGGTGAGGAAATTCGAATGTACCACTTACCACGTCTTTGTAATCTTGCACGTTGACGTCTGCTTGGTCTTCTTCACCGCCGTTTTCTAAAATTTGCAGAACTAAAGAATTTTTAAACCATTCAACAAACGCAAAAAGTTGATATTGTAAAACATGAAACATAAGGCACGTAGCATATCGATAAACTAAAAAAAAACAAGGATAATCAAAAGACAGATTTAAACGACAATCTTCGTTCATGAAGGCTTTAAAATAACCACTCTTCTTTCGAGAAATTTTTGCTCTTAACAACTTGAAAATCTAAAACTGAAAAACAAAAGTTGGGGCAAGAAACCAGACCTACACTAACCTTGAAACTCCTGTTTCTGTTTCAACTCATTTTTAGCTTTTAATTTTCCAATAAGCACAGATTCTGGCAACATTTTCGGTGGTTCAAAAATGATACCACCACGGTTAAACTGTAATTCTTCTTTTGCAGGATACAAACGTTCAAATTTCACTTTTTCGCCTTGGACGTACGGCTCTTTCGTAGTCGCAAGCACCTTAAAAACAAAGTCTCTAAGCAAGAGCGCTGAGTCTTAGTCCATATCAAGTGTTGTAGCTAAAAAACGAAGAAATACCTATGTCAACCAAAGCAAAGAAGGGAAAGAAACAGTGAAGTCAAGAGTAAAAGAAATTTGATAAAACTAACTGTTAATTGCGTAAAGACAAAAAAGTAAGCATCTACGTCCGAATCTAACCGCCAATATTTGGCAGTATAAAAATAATGGTCTTCTAATTCCTCTACCAACCAAAAGAATTCAAATAACATTCAATTGCTGAAAAATTAAGCTTCTTAGCTCGTTTCAGGATTTGAATCTGACCAGATGATAGTGAGAATATAATCGCTGTACACAAGCTGGCGAAGAAATGAGTGCGCCGAATAAACGTTTCACACTAAAATTTCTCTTATAATATTTTATAACTTCTACGATTCCATGTTTCGTGCAATAGCATGAAAAAACCAAACTTGTCATAAAATAAAATGCCCTCACAAAAGCTGCTAGATTACCCGTCATTTTGAACTACAGTAGTACTGACAAGTCCTAGGATAAAATTTCAATTACTTCTTCGAAAATATTGCTAGAAGTTTGTACCCGGAAAAACTGAAGTATTCCGGGACAGCCTAACATGCATCTACACAACTAACCTGTTACCAAATCAAAACAACTTCTAAATTCCAAACTACCAAACAAGAAAAGTCAGGATTACTTAGAGGACCAAAATGGTATGAATTCTTTGGCCTCTTTGTCACCAAATAAAAAAATACCTTTAAAAATCCGTAATCAGCAAAAAATACAAAGGCTTTATTTTTGACAGTAACTGCCACCAAAGACCCAAATTAGCTCGTCAAAAGGAATAGAAATCTACACTATTTAATTGAATGTGATAATACTGATTCTTTCGCTTACAATTTCCTTCTTTTCATTTTTTATTATTTTGCAAACGTAGATAATCATCAATGAAGCTCAAATATATTGCAACATTCAGGTGACTGCTTCTGAAGGCAATGGAAATAAATAAATAAACAAAAAATAAAAGTAAATGAAGAAAAAATCTGTTTGAACAAATGGTAATGAAGGAAACATGAAGGAAAATAAGACGAATAGAAAATGGCGCCAGACTGCCGCCTTCATCCCGAGAAATCTACGATTTACCAAGTGTCAGCCTCAAACGTTTCCCACTATTGCCTCAACCTCAAACATTTTCCACACGAAGCCTTAAACCGGCTCCGTGTTTTCTGCCGCTCAAAAACTGAAACTGTCACTTCCTCACCTTATTAAATGCTATAATTGTTCTGAAAAGTTACTTTTGGGACACAACTGTAACGGGTTCAAAACATTAGGTTTCAAAATAGTCTCTTTTTTGAATTCACTGAACAGTATAAACGAGTGTGAATTCAGCACAAGTCAATTAAAAAGTGCAAAGTATGCTTTAAAAAATAAAATCCATTCTTTCTTCTTCTAAAAATAAAAAATTTTGAGCGGAAACTGTTGCAAAAAATAAAGTTTTACAATAATAATCGCGTACGCAGCAGGAAGAAAAGAAACATGTACGTGATAAGGCCGTTAATGTACAAGAACATGCAAAAGAAATAGTACGAAGATGTATGAGGCCGAAAAGAACACAAGAAAAAGTTGTTGGGAAGGAAAGAAGCTGCTTTCAGATGTGATGAAGTGTGAAAGCATCCTCTAACTGGCCGCCTTCAACGCCTCTACAGTAGCACCGACACAGCACCAGCATTTCTGACTCCTTCAATAGCTCAGATTCTGACTGCTTGTTAACCGATCAGCTTAAATATGTCAATTCCAACTGCTGTTAAGTAAGTCTATTTTACTGTTCCTTTATTGCATTTTTAGGCATCTTTTGACCATAACTATACATTCACGTCCAGTCATAATTGTTAAAAAAAATATTTTTTTATCATCACCGTTCAACGAATTTACATTTCAAAACTATTTACATTTTTTAAAACTACAAGCAGTATCCAGTAAAAATTTGCATCCATCTACATTAAATATACAAAACTTCTTAATTTCTTGTCGAATTGCTACTTGGAACTTCGCGAATCATCTTAAAATAACAATGTAAGCCCGTTGAACATCTTGATAAGCTTATTACAACTTGTTGCCAACTGTCAAATCTTAAAGTGAAATCAAACACATCATTTGTAGGCAACGCTAAAATCTCGTGCTCAAAAACCCACTCTTCCATTTCAACACTCAAAAAATTTATTTCTATTTTAAACTTTACTTTTTCCAAACTAACCTACAAAAATAACTCAAACAACCATAACGGTGAGATTGCTCAACTAAACAAAGTTCACACACTGTAACTTTGATGTCAAAAAATCTCTACAATAAAATGCTTCCATTATACTTTAATAATTATATTTGAGAAAAAAGTAAAATTTTTTAAAGAGGTTGGAGGAAGAAAATAAGGAACTAAAATACCATTACAGTAATAAACAATAGAAATTAAAAAACAAAGGCTACTCAAATTTCAAAAATAATCCGCTCCATATGAAGTCGCTGAAGAAAGATGAGCTATGTGGTCAGGAGTGCGTTTAAATGTGATGTAACTGGACCAAATAAAATATTTTCATTACAGCATTTCAACTGTAAACAACCATATTTTCAATAAACAATACTTTCTCCGTTTTTCAATACTTAAAGAGAATTTCTTTTCATTTTTATGTCACATAAAATACTCGAAAAATCATCAAAAAAAATTTTTTTCAAGACTTCCAGTTGATTGTATTAATCCCTCGAACAAAACCCACTTAATATGTCGGGAAACTATACCCTCGCATCTAACTATATTAAGAAACAACTCTTTACACTCGTCAAACACAATTAATAACAAATAAGTGTAATTTATAAACCCGCTCCAAATGATCTCTAATGAAATTTCAGTGAAACTAACGACAAAGAGAAACCTCCTTATTCATATGTAGCCCTTATTGCTCAAGCAATCAAAGCGGCGCCCGACCGACAAATGACCTTAAACCAAATCTACCAGGTAAGTAACGTCGCTTGCAGCAGGAAATTTTTAAACTTTCATTCACGAAACAGGGAAGAATCTAGTAAAAAACACTTCTATTAACGAGAAAACTATTTTATATGGCACAGGGCTCCTATCATATCAAGATACATCCTCTTCTATTACAGCGATACCCCCCTTAACACAGTTCCAGAGAATCCCTTCGAAAAAAAAAAATCAAAAAAAAGTCCACAAAATCTCCCCTTAGTGAAGTCTTCATCCACCAATACCTTTATATTACAGTACATCGACGCAAATTTTCCGTATTATCGTAACTGTGAACCAAAACGACGCCAAGGATGGCAAAACAGCATTCGCCATAATTTATCTCTTAATGACTGTTTTGTAAAAAAACCAAGAGATGGAATTGGACCTGCAAACGATCGCAAGGGGAACTTCTGGACGCTCTCTCCAGATTGCGAAAACATGTTCGAACCCGGAAACTATAAACGACGGTAATCGATAAAGTCATCAGTTTAGATACCTCAACTTATAATTAGCAAAACCGTTTCATTTCTTTTTCTTCTGCGCAACTCCATGCAGATTTTCAATTTTGAATCTCCTCTTGTTAACTCAGTAGAAGATTTAAGTGCTGTTAGAAAAATGGAAAAACAGAAAACGTAATTGAATAAAGCTGAAACATGCCTGAAGAAATTGTTTCAATTTACAATATTTATCCATATGTTTCAATAAAGTTTAACAAAGAAATATTAGATACTTAGTGTCAAATTAATGAAATAGATCAAATCCAAGATTTCTGCCACTCTGATTTCTCCATTAAACAGCGCGAAAAATATTAAGTTAAACTGAAAAGATTCAAATAGTTCTTTCCAGAAAAAGGATGAAGAGGAATACGAGAAACAACACCACCAAGGAAAACCCAGAACTTCACGTAATTGATCCATCATTTTTCCTCCAAATGATGCAAAGACAAGCGCAACAGCAGGTAAGAAACCGTTTGGTAGAATAAAGCCACTACGAAAAATCGACCATAATGTAGAAAAAATCAACTTCAATCCTGTCCTACCTCTAACAAATCCCTATTGCGCCGATTTTACACGACTCACCAAACTCACAAAATTAATTCAGCATGAACGAACTTCAATATACTCACTAATTTAACCCAAAACGTCTTTATCATTTCAGCTCTTCGTACATCCTCCTGCCATGTTCGGTTTCCAAGAGGAGTCAGTAACAACCAGCACTACGGCAGAATACTGGTCACCGGTTGCGGACGTATTGGACCAAAAATCGTTTGTTTCGACTGAACAAAAGCCATTTGTAACCACTTCAAACCCACCACCTATCCCATACCGAAGTGAAGAGTACGTATCCCCATGGACAAGCCCACAAACTATTGTGCCTTTCAGGCAATTTGAAGAATCTTCATTACAACAAAGCTTTGAACAAAGATGCTCTAATATTTACCAGGTTCAATGACTTCACAACTTGTATCCATAATGCTAATAGCCTTAAGTCTTCTTTATGCACTTATAATTTTATTTTTGAAACTGGTAAAAAATGAATAAATTCTAATGAATTGCATATCCAAAAATTTCACAGTAATGCGAAACTGCTTTCAAGAGACTTCTTATGTTCAAGTGATCCCCTTCTATTAAGCTAAAAAAAGATTGTAAAAGTTTTAAACTCACCTTTATGGCAGAAATAGCACCAGCAGAGCTATTCATCAAATTCACACACTCCTCCAACTGTGTCTAAAAACAGGAACTACCAAAATCCCAAAAAAATGCAGGGTCAAGCCTTCAACAAACAAGACCACTAGAAGCTCACAGCGTTCTCCTGCAGCCCTGAGTCTAACGAAAAAAAAAAAAAACTGACCTTAGCTTCTTTTAAAGACTGTTCCAGCTTCCCTGCTCGTTCCGCTGCTACAGAATGTTTTGCCTAAAAAAATGCGCCAGAAAGACAGTTAAACAAGAAGAAAAATTCACTGAAGAAAAGAAAACACCCGGAACACAAAAGTAGTAAAACCAAAGGCAGACCTGCAACTGTGTTAGTGCTTCCCTTACGCTATCAGAATCGCCTAAAAACTCATATTTATATATACGTATATAAATATATAAATAAATAAATGAATATATAAACAAATGAATATATATATATATTTATATGTAAAATCGTAGGTAAGGTTCTCCTAACGCATGATAAAAACTAAGTAGTGAGGGAAAATAAAACTGCACTTTGCTGCTTTGCAGCTACGATTACTCATACTAACAATCTTACTAAGTGAAAGCTATGAAAACCAGTCGTTTCAACCAGCAAGTGAAAAAGGAACTTAAAGACTAGCACCGTTGAATTTCGAGTCTGGTGAAAGTGGTGCTAATATCACGGAAAGTTCGCGAAAAGTAGCATTCAGCCGCTCATTTTCATTATTACACTTCTCTAGGTCTATCTGAAAACAAGTTGAAAAAAAAAATCATTTGAAAATTCCATCTTCCTCCTCCAAAGAAAAAAAAAACACAAAGCAAGACAAGAAAATAAATTCCTATTCTTTTTCAGCAAAGTGACCATGTTTGGAAAATTACCACTTTTGGACATGAGGCAACTGTAACAAATTTAGCCATAACTAAGACAAAGGTAACAAAAAGCAAAAGAGAAATGGAACGTAAATGAGTACTGACACCAAAAATGACTTTATAGACTTTGTTCTTGAAAATCCTCTCTCATCTTACAACGAAAATGTAAGAAACTGCATTTTAAAATACTGATCTAACACCGAAATTTGATATTTCCAGTGAATTTTAAAAAAATTTTGCTAAGTCCGTGGAAATGGTGCTGCAAAGAAACAAATTTTATATTAAAAATGACATACCAAGTGAAGTGATTTTGCCACTTCTGCAGATCGTACTTTCTCCTCACATTCTGTAAAAGTTTACTTGCAAATTAAAGACTTAAAACGAAATAATCTTGTCTACTACAGAAAAGCCGATATGAAGTGAAGGAACTTAAAAAACTAAAAAAGAATGAAATCCAAATCTGATCTATTATTAAACTGCACGAAACCTTGCAAAGCGACCTCGTCTTCTGAAAGTTTGTTTTTGAGAATAATTTCAGCTTTCCGATTTCTTTCAACCATCACTGAAAAAACTTGAATGAGAACTAATAAAGCCGACCAACAAGGGTATGCCGTATAATTTATGTGAGCCTTTTTATTTTACACCTATTTTACAATTTCTCTAAAAATTAGTCGTGCATTTTTACTAGTACTGAGAACCGCATCTCACTCCCCTCATCCTTTTATTTAACTCACTACTTCGACCGACCTTCCTTCTCCCTCAGTTTTTCCTCTAGGTTTCCATTCCCCCTTTCACCTTTGGATACAGTCCAGAAAAGCATGTAACCAAAATGATACAATTAATTTTCTATTACTGCCATTTCTTAACCATAAAACCCTTCCTTAAACTGTCTGTCGCTTTTAGTATGGTGTAGTGCAGTATATTAAATGAATTTAAATAGCAAGAACAACGGATGAAAACTGAAGGATTTTCTCAAACACATTTTCTAACTAAAGGCAATCAAAAATAACCGAAAAGCAATGTCTAACTTTCTCGCATAAAAGCGATCAAAAGCGCTATACAATCAGGATGCAGTAATTACATAAATTGATTTTCAAGATGAATTCAACTGAAGCACCCTGCAAACACTTCTACTTTCTTTCTCCTCTTGGGAATAACAAGTTCTGCTAATTTTCATACAAATTTAGATAACATTAAGAAACTAACATTGAAGCTGTGCAGAAAGACCATCTGAATAAGCAAGTAACTCCGTATACTTATGTAACAACAGAGAATACTGGTGCCGATAACTCTGATACTGGGATGCAAAAAGAATAAAAACTGCGACAGAGACTACACAAAGTGCAAAGCGAGACCACAATACAGCTCGAGCTGTCATCCCATTGCTAAAATGTTAAAAATGGACATAATTTTAAATAATGTACAAAATTTTTCTTAGAAAAACAATAAAACGTCTTATTATGCACATTTTATCAAAAGCGTCGCTGCACTATACCAGTAACTATTGAAAATGATTAATACAGTTCAAAAATAAATAAAAAATAGATTTATTTCCAATGATGGATGCAGTGATGACACCTTTAATGTTTTTCTTTCGTAGCAACCATAACGTTATAGTTTTGATGTAAATTCTATAAATAAATTCCAATAATTTTTACAACTCTTACGCATAAAACGCCCAATTAGTAGTGCCAAGATCAATAAATATAATGGAATTGAAAGATATATGCTTACTTTTTTCTTACTTAAACAAAAAACCTTCAAGCAACTCAGAATAAAACAAATATGAGGGAATCAATGATTTCTGAACTCAATCGTAATGTCATAACAGTAACAACAATCTGTACCTCCTTTAAAATATGACTGTTCTACGACCAGATAATCATTTTTTTGATCATAACCGGCAATCCAGTAAAATATACCATCGATTCTCCTGTAATACAGTAAACATGATATTGGGATGTTGTCTTAATATAATATCAAAACATACTAAAGTATACTGAATTTTTTTCAGCCAGCAAATAATGACATATCATTCCGATATATGTAAAACAAAATTTAAAAAAAAAAGACCATAACACTTTTTCCTTCCTCTAAAACAATAAAGCATTCACAAGAATAAACATCAGGCATTACGACGCCAAAGAGGAAACACGAGTAAAGTTAGAAACAGGTGTAGTTAAAAGACAGAAAAAGAATTTGGAAGGAACTTTCTTGTAGCTATACGGTCATTTAAATTTTGTTATTTATACTGTGTTCATTTTAAAGCTTTGTTTCCAGCAATTTCAATCATAAAAGTATATAAATATAAATAAACAAATATATATATTTATTTATGTATTTTTCTATTTACTTTATTTTTTATTTATTTTTGATTTCCCACTTTTCTTCTAAGCCGTTTAAAAACCGCATGACGAATCATCAAATGAACCTTTTCAGCATATAACCCATAATCACAGAAAAAAGTAAAGAAATCACTCAAACGATATATATATAT